AGTTTAAATCTGCATGCAGGAACTTTCCAGCGCTGAAGGAAGAGTCTGATTCTCTGCATGACGGATGTAAATGTGAGCTGAAATGATTTTTTTGGGCCTGCCTGATTATTGTTTCTGTGATGGCTTTGAGGGGAGGGATTGCTGCTTGACTCCCATTAATTTCATGGCTTTGTGTATGAGCCGATAAGCTGAGCCTTCATTTGGGCAGACAGATCACCAAACCAGGCTGTAACTGATGCTAAAAGAGCAGCATCTCTTTTTTGACAAACACTGAAAGCCTTCAGCCTATAAAGGAAGTGTATTCTCTGCTGGATCCTGGTGCAGACAGGGTCAACCTAACCAGTCCATCTGATGTCGATTTCAGCGGGTCTGCAACTCGAGAATTAAGAGGCTTCTTGGACTCTCTATACTGGTTCTTTATGGTGTCTTAAAAAAGTAATAAAGAGACATGCATGGCCTTTTAATGCAGTATAAAAAAATACCATCCTTAGAAGCTTTAGTTAAAATTTTAAAAGAATTTCTCATATTGAATTTGTAAAACATAATGCTATTAAAATAACCAAAATTTTGTTTTTTATATCTATTTATACTTATTATTAGCAGGATAATTATTTATTTTGCTGGTTTGATTTATATCAAATAATATCCTATAAAACTAAATCAGAGGGGAGCGCTGTTGCCTTGCAGCAAGAAGGTTCCGGATTCGATTCCCTGCCCGGGGGTCTTTCTGCATGGAGTTTGCATGTTCTCCCTTAGCATGCGTGGGTTCTCTCCTGGTACCCTGGCTTCCTCCCACAGTCCAAAAACATGATTGTTAGGTTAACTGGCTTCTCTAAATTCTCCTTAGGTGTGAATGGCTGTTTGTCCTGTTTGTCTGTGTTCCCCTGTGATGGACTGGNCAAACACACAGACAGGAGTCCTGACAGCAACCTTCAAATCTGTCCCCGCCCCTGGCGCAAAAGTTCTGCAAACCTCGTCGCGCACCTCAAAAAAATCCTGACTACGTGTCGGACGGACGCAAACCCACACAGACCCCAAGCAGAAGTGCGCAGACAGAAAGCAGCTGTGATTGGTCCTTTTATGCCTTTCTGGCTGTCTGTGTGGTCGTCATTCTCGATTTGGTGCTGGGGCGCGCCATTTTTAAAAACAAATACAAACAAATACAATGGCATATCTATCTGTAAGTAGAGACTGCAGTTGCTTAGGGGCCCCCGACCTCTTAAGGTCCCCGTCACTGACACCTGGTTGGCCCTCTACGCAATTGTGCACTAGGACGCCTCTTTGCAAATGTAATGGTGTGAAAAATTCCTCTTAAACCCACCTGATAATAGGATGACTGACCGGACCGCAAAGCAGACAGTGGTACTTTTAATTACTATGTTGATAACTGTGTATAGTTCATTAGACAGTTGGTAAAAAATATGCTCCTATAATATGTTTGGGGTGTTGTACTTCATATGGCGCCCACCCAGATAATGTTGCTTACAGGTCTATTGTTGTGTCGTTACACCATTGACAACGACGAAAGGTTAATCAAGGAGATTCGGAAGTACAACTACTTGTACGATAGCCTGACATAGTCCTACTCAATTCTAGTCAGAATATGAGTCTGATACTGCTCCATAGAGCTGTGATTATGGGGCGTGTTTTGAACGAACCAGGAAAAAAAATGCCTCTGCACTCAATTGGATAGACCTACAACCAATAAGAGCAACGGAGTGCGTGACGTATGTTAAGCGACGCATAGTTGTTGTCAACAAAAATCAAAGCGTGCAGTTGCACACCTAGAATAAGAAGATGAGCCTTGATCGCGTTTCTCTGTTCCTCATTTAAAATTAACTTGCTGTCGATATTTTCTAGAACAAACCTAATAC